CAGCTGCTGTGGGGAGCCCCGGGCCCTTTAAATCACCGCTGGAGCTCTGGCAGCGGGGCTCGGGCGGGGATTTAAAGGGCCCGGGGCGCACCGCAGCGGCCGGAGCCTCTGGCCCTTTAAATCACCGCCCGAGCCTGGCTGCCCAAGCCCCGGGGCTCCAGCAGCCAGGCTTGGGCAGTGATTTAAAGGGCCCGGGGCTCCACACGAATTCGGATATAACGCGGTAAAGCAGTGGGGCTCCAGTGGCGCTTTAAAGGGCCCGGGGCTCCCCGCTGCTTTACAGTGTTATATCCGAATTCGTGTTATATCAGGTCGCATTCTATCGAGGTAGAGGTGTATACTCATTTCAACCTTATAGCCCTCTTTCCTCTCCCAAAGAGCTTGCCTATTGGCCACAATATACTTCCACAAAGGAAATCTCAACTGTGGCATCTGCAGTGCCTTCTAGGCATGGGAAAGATACTTAGATGTTCATTAAGTTTGATACGAATATAACCTTTTTGCATAGATCAAGTGTTAGAGAGGCAATTATTTTGGCTCCTGTAATCTGGCCACATGTGAGTGTTATGCAGACTCTAAAATAGAGCTAAGTGTCACTAGTTTAAACATAGCTAGAAATCTGTACACTGTATAAAACTGCATACTGCACAGAACAAAAGTAGTCCAACTTTGTTTAGCTTTTTTTTTTAAACATTCATATAAATTATCTTGTACTTCACATTATGATTTATATCTGTATTTTACCCCAAGCTATACCACCAGAGTCAGCTGCTCCAACCACTTGCTCTAAATGAAAATAACGTTGCCAACCAGTTTAATTACTGCAAGGTACAATAGGATTCCTATTTTGAACAGCATTTTCAGGTTCTGAAAAATGAGGATGATCTGCTTTATCCACCCTCTTGGATAACAGACCATCAGACACCAAATAGGATTTCTCAGATTTTAAATATGTCATTGTATCTGCTTTATATAAAAAGCCTTGTCATTTTGTTTTTATGATGCCTAAAGATGAATTTGCAAGGCCAACTTTCAGTCATAAGAGTATTAAAAACACATTGAGATTGAGCACAGCTGTGAAAAATTCTAGAGTTAATATAAACTGATATTTGCTAAAGAAAACTGCTGCAGCACTGAAACTCACAATACACTGAGCACCAAATACTGCAAGTTGTAAAACATTTTAGACAGCCAGGGTCAAGCCTCTCGGCACTAAATCTAGTGTCCAAGGAGGTTTGCTCCTCATTTTTCTCCCCACTACTAGAAGAAAAAATTGAGATCAGACAGTAAGTTTCTCCAGTACCAAGAACTGTCCGGTAGCAGAACCGCACAGGGAGCAGGGGGAGAGACACAAGAGGACTGAGCTCTCATGTGATCACGGGAAAGGTTTAAACATACACAAGGCTAGGCCTGTGCTCTCCACAACCAACTAAGAGGTTGGGATGAAGGGTTCTAAAAAGAGTTCCTCAGGGCCTAAATCACACAGTGAGGGTTTTAAAAATGTATTAAATATTTCCTAGATCTGTGCAATCTATCTATTCCTACAAACACCTAAAGCGATTACTGCCACTGCCTAGAACTAGCATGTTACCCCATATTATATGCCGTGAAAGAAGCTAGTTGTAGGCCCAAAATTTAGATTGCAGAATCAGGACCTAGTTGCACCAGGCACTAGAGGATGCATCATGAAAAGACAGTGCTTAACTTACAATCTAATATAAGATATGAAAAGTAATATGAATATGAGATAATTAATTTTAATTAGAATATTTCCTGAGCACCGTAAGTGTCCTCTGCTCTATTAAGTGCAAAAAGAAAAACAGCAAGAATTGTAAACCATTCCATTGCAACTGAGGCATAATTAGTAAGGGCTGTGATAAGGAACACAAAATATATACACACAGACAACTCTCTTAAAGATCCCGTTCTAGACTCTGCATATAAAAAGATCATAGATGCAACCTGGAGCACTGAGGAGAATCCCTTATGATTCCAACAAGAAGACACTGGGGAAATTTCTTAGTGACTATTCTCATGGTAAACCGCTACAAACAACAGATACTAACAGCATAGGGCCCAGACTTCACAAGCATACAGACAAAAAGTGCCATAGACAGAGATGACCACAGCATGACTATTTAACCATGCATTGAAAGTCATGGTCTTCCCAGCTTTGGCTGCTACAACACATATCCGCAACACATATGGGGCTAGCAAGCCCAATCCTTTTAAAGAAGAAGGAAGACTCAGTGAACCACAAGGATAAGTCTGAGCATTTTATCATTGTATGGGGAACTCTCCATGGAGGCAGTGCTGAGAGTTACTCCAGTACACCCTGTACTTGCTTTAGCAAGCCAATGGACATGTGCAACAGTATGGTAATAGTGGTACTATGAAAATATATGTTACTGATGATTCCATTAAGTCAGAACACTACAGTGTGTGTATCAAACACCTATGTGCACCATATTAAATCCAGGCAAAATTTCCTGCATTCTCTCCTATGACACTTTGAAAAAGCAAAGAGAAAAAGGAAGAAAGGGGAAGGATGGTTCCAGTGGTTACAGAGCTCATCTGGGAATGAGGAACCCAGGGTTCATTTCCCTGCTCCACTACAGACTTCCTGTGTGTCCCTGGGCCTCTCTGTCACTCAATTCCCCATCTATAACATAGAAATAATACCACTTCCCTACCTGTGAGTTCACATACCTGGGGTCCACTATCCACTATTGAGTTCCTTTCACTTGAAACATCCACACTGGAAAAGATGCCACAACAATGTCTAGACTGAACAAGAGGGTATGGCAAAACAACAAACTGACAGAACACACAAAGATCTGTGTTTATCGTGCATGTGTTATCAGTACATTTTTGTATGGGAGCGAGACATGGACCTTATACTCTCATCAGGAAAAGAGGCTCAACAGCTTTCATATGCGTAGCTTTTGTCTAATCTTTGGAATCTCCTGGAGGGACAGTCACCAACACTGAGGTGCTCAAATGGGCCAGCAATATCCAGCATACGAACTCTCCTCAAACAGAGATGCCTCCGCTTGCTTGGCATGTATGACGAATGAATGATGGGCGCAACCCAAAGGACATCCTCTACGGTGAATTGGCATCTGGAAAAAGACCCAAAGGACACCCAAAATTGCATTTCAAGGAAGCGAGGCCTCAAAGAAATGGACATGGATATGGACAAATGGCAAGATCAGACTCAAGGCCGCAGCCTTTGGAAACAAGAGCTTAACAGAGGTCTCCGGAGTTATGAGAGGAAGCCGTCCTGCTTGGCAGAGGAGAAAAGAGCTTGCAGAAGGCAGAGCCCAAAGGCTCGAAACATCACCTTTAAATGTGACAGATGCGGCAGAGATTCTCTCTCTCAATTGGGTCTCTTCAGCCACGTTTGCGGCTGCCATAAAACCAACTGAGTAAATTCTTTACCTCTCAGGGACGCATACCCATGGTCTCTCGAGACTGAAGGATGCCTACTACTACTACCTGCAAGGATAAATGAATTAAAGATTGCAAGGCGCTCAGATACTACGATGATAAACAGTTTTGAATCTCTTCTTACTCTTTTCACTAGTATGTTTATCTAAAACAACAAACAAAAATATTGTAAATGGAACAAAGTACAGATGGCAGCACCAACCAAGGCATAGCAAACACACTTGTTATTGAACTATACTAAAATCCAACAGTATTTAGTTAGTCCTCCTTTATCATCAACATTTACCCTGGCAGATCTGCTACGAGGAAAGGAAGACTCCTTCGCTATAGATTAGTCTTTTAGACACTTTTTAAGAGTATTGTATAACCTGCTCATGATGAAGGATTTTTCTGCATTTCAAAAACATTTTTAAATCTTTGCATTTTTTTTGGAAACCCCCTTGTTTAAATGGGCTCTGGGCCTATCAAGTTACGACCATAGAACATCCCTCCAAATCTCTCTCTCTCACATACACACCCCAACTCCAAACCCTATCAAGTCACAATTCATCCGCTCCCCAAAAGATCACCACCCCTAAAATACTTGCCCGGCCCCTTTTCCAGCGAAGACACACCTGCAGAAGAGAGGCCACTTCCAGCGTGTCTCCCTGTGGCTGGGGAGGCTCTGCCCAGGTAGGAATTAGCTACATCAGATGACATTGGTACAGGTAGCACATTCCTACAGGGAGCAGTTTCTGACTCTACACCGGCACTACACCACTTCTTCCTCCACCTGCCACCCCCTATAGCCCGCCCGCATCGCAACACCCAGTCCTACTCCCCCCGCCCCTCCCAAACCGCCATCTCCCGGGCGGCAGCGACCCCCCAGACACAACCAACCGCCAGCCCCGCGTCTCGAGCCCCAGCCAACCCTAAGCCTCCCCTCCAGGCACCACCCCCTCTCCCCAGAGATGCTCAGCCCCGCACCTGGGGAGGGGGGGAAAGGGGCGGAGACTCACCTGGCTCCTGCTCCCGTGGGAGGGGGTGAGGGGCAGCGGCTGTCGCTCCCCTCCCCGCGCGGCTGGCGGTCGGACGGGCCGGCTCGCTCCCCGGACACCCCACACACCCCTTGGCTCCGCCGGGATCAGGCCGCGTCCATCTTTCCACGTCGTCACCGCCGCAGCTTCCCCTCCCCCGGCTGCGTCCGTCCGCGGCCAACGACAGGCGAGGAGGAGCATGCTGGGAAATGTAGTTCTCTGGGGGACTTTACGGGGGAGCTGGAGGCGCAACCTGCCCAACTCCTGCAGAGCGCGTCCACGAACGGGGCGGGGAGGGGGCCTGCCCCAGGTAGTGCCCACAAGGGAGGGAAATCTACCCCAGTTACCATGCACTGGAGGGCTTGAATCAGGCATTTCTCCCTTGCAATGGGGAGAGAGAGGACTGTCCTGGCCTCAGGAGCATGACCTGAACTCCTTTTCCTACTGCGCTATGCAGCTAAGTTTTCTTGCCCTGTTCTCAATGTTGCTGTGTTACAGAGTGCCTTAAAGTTTATCTCCGGGTTGTGGTGTAATTTAATATAAGATGCTTTTAAGGTTGATTAAGGGGTTTTAAGTCACAGGGTAGGGCATAAGCCAAGAGAAAAGGGAAAGGCTCAGGCCTGACTTTTAAACTTGCAGTTAATGTTCAAGATACATAAGACAGCAGAAGTCATCCAGAGAGGCCTGGTATAAAAACCTAACAAGATAAAGGCAGTATTAACAACCTGATGTGTTTAAAAAATTGTGAGACAAGCCCAAGAGATTGGGTTCATTAGATTTAAAGAATACACTTGTTTTATTTGCATTCTGGTTTTTGAAACTGTTAGTGTTCATATTGGACTCTTTAACAGAAAAAGAGTCCAAGGATTGTGGTGGATTCTCTATTGCTGGCAATTTTAAAGTCAAGATTAGATCTTTTTCTAAAAGATGTGTTCTATTTCAAACAGGAATTAATGCAGGGATATGGCCTGGGTTATATATGAGGTTAAACTAGATGATCACAGTGGTCCCTTCTGGCCTTAGAATCTACATTTTCATGTTTTTCTTTCACAACCGTGCGAAGTTTACTAGAAACTTTCTATTAAACAAATGCCCATGTTCTCATTTACCATGTGACTCCAGGAGCTGGAGTTTTAAGAAAGACTATCTGAAGTACTTATACAGCTCTCATCACTATAGTACCAGAGCTAGGGTTACCATATTTAAAAAATAAAAAAGAGGACACTCCACGGGCCCTGAGCAGAGCAGCTGGAGCCCGGGAGGGGAAGTGCCCGGCCGGCGGCTCGGGGTCCGGAGGCAAGGGGGCTGCCCGAAGCCAGTAGCGCTCGGGCAGCTTGGCTCTTAAACAGAGCCGAAGAGTCAGGGGAGGAGCAGAGCAGCTGGAGCCCAGGAGGGGAAGTGCCCGGCCGGTATTTTTCCCGGACATGTTCGGCTTTTTGGCAATTCCCCCCGGACGGGGGTTTGATTATCAAAAAGCCGGACATGTCCGGGAAAAACCGGACGTATGGTAACCCTAACCAGAGCACTTCACAATCGCAACAGCCCTGTGAGGTAGGAAAATGCTGTTATCCTGATTTTACAGATAAGGAGCTGAGGCACAGGGGCTAAGGCTGTGTCTACACTACAGACCTTACAGCGGCACAGCTATGCCGCTGCAACTGCACCACTGTAAGGTCTCCCATGTAGCCGCACTATGCCAATGGGAGAGAGCTCTCTCCTCAGCATAATTAAACCATCCTCAAGAAGCAGCAGTATTGATGCTGGTGGGAGAGCAGCCAAGGGGTGTTTCGTTTAATAAATACTCCCAAGAGTAGAGTGAGATCCCAGATAATAAGATCCATGATGATAAGTTACATTCACTTAGCACCTGTTAGTTAAAAGATTCTCAAATACTCAAACTATAGCTGGGGATTGCTTCATCCACTAATAAATGCCATTGCCTCAGGGATGGAACACAGCAGCTGTTTAACAGTGCATACAATTTTTTTCTTTCCATCCTAAAATATTGTTATCCCCTTGATTCTACAGGGGAATTTAAGTAGGTAGAATATAGCTAATTTACTCATGACATCAGAATTAATACAAACTTGGCAAACTCATGCAAAAAGTACTATGGGATCTTAATGATCTCATGTGGTTGGAGTCCCAATTTTATGTCTCCTCCAAAACCACTAGACTATCACCTACTGAGCCAAGGTGGGTGAGATATCTTTTTATTGGACCAACTTCTGTTGGGGTAAGAAAGAAGCTTTCGAGCTTCCACCATGCATTTAACTGTGACACTCTACCTTTTTGAGAGCTCTGTGTAAGCTCAAAAGTTTTTGTCTCTTTCACCAACAGAAATTGATCCAATAAAAGATATTACCTCACCCACTTTGTCTCTCTAATATTCTGGGAACAATAGGGTTACAAAAACACTGCAGATATTACCTACTGCATCACATATATACTACTACCTGCAGGATTTGGGTTTTCTTTGGTTGTCTCATATTTAATTGCTAACTAATTGCATCCATACTTAGCTTATAAGATCTGATATGTTCACAGTCCAATGTGGTGTGACTCCATCAGTCAATGTCTATTTGACTTGTTTAGATTTTAGTTTTTAAATAATTATTTACATTTAAATCCCCCTTTACATTGGGACATTTATAACCTTGACTCAGAGAACTTGGGTCCATTCATGGATTCATATGACACCACTTTCCTATAAGACTGGAAACAGAACTATAATACTGCAGTTGTCATCCTTCTAATTAATTCTGCTTATAGCCAGAGGCTTTTCTCATTACCTGTTGAGATATTCTGGGATATTCCTTAATGTCTTGGCCTAATTTCATTTTCTGATAATAGTACAGTACTTTCAATTAATGAGAACTCAGATAAATATAAAAAGTTGAATGAAAAGCAACTGTTACAGCAATAGGAACATAGGATTTGGCATACTACATCAGACTCTTGGGTTATCAGATCACTTACCCTGCTTCTGGCAACATCCAGTATATGTGTGTGTGTGTGTGTGTGTGTGTGTATATATAGCTATCTAGCACTGTATTTTAAGGTTTTCTATTGTGTCCATCAATATCTATTCAATTAAGTATCTCATTCTTCCACTGAAGATGAAAACTCTCATAGTGTCATGAGCCCAATCCTGTTATCTGTGTGCACAAAATTATATATAAAATTCGAGTAATGCAAATGTAAGCAATAGTATTTTAACCTTGCTACAGGCAGACAATATATGACAAAGCAACATAATCTGCCTTAGAACATAAGCACAATATATAAATGATCATTTATTTATGCAATAGTAAGTGATTTGGGATGGGGACTGTAATTTGTTGAAGTGGGAGGAGTGTTTGGGGACTGCAGGAGGTAGTTTGCAGTCACTCCCTAGGAAGAGAGAGATGATTTGGAGCTGGTACACCCAGAGAAGATCTCCTGGTTAAGCCAGGGTGGTCTCATTCCATACTTCCTCTCATTCCTACGCAGTGTATAGTTTGCTGTTGTGCCCTTAATAATGTCTCCTTGAAAAACTGCCAACTTCCTGAGTTTGCTAAAGTCTGCCTTCTTGAAATCCATTATCTTCATTGTGCTGTTTTCTCTCCTACCATTTCTTAGAATTGTGAACTCTCTCATTTCATGATCACTTTCACCTAAGTTCCTTCCACTTTCAAATTCTCAATGAGTTCCTTCCCATTTGTTAAAATCAAATCTAGAACAGCCTCTCCCCTAGTAGCTTTCTCCACATTCTGAAATAAAAAATTGTCCCCAATCTGTGCCCTGCTGTGTTATTTTCCCACAGATGGCTGGAGCGTGGTCTACACTAACGAGGAAAGTTGATCTAAATTGCGCCAGTTAAGTTACATAACTTAAGGCGACATAGCTTAGTTCAACTTACAGCGGTGTCTACTCTGTGCTATGTTGATGCTCTCCAGTCAACATAGCTTTCACCCCTTGGGGAGGTAGAGTATTGAAGTCACCAGGAGAGCGCTCTCCCATCAACTTATCGCGTCTTCACCAGACCCACTAAATCGACACCGCTGCATCAATCACAGCAGCGCCGATTTAGCCGGTGGTGAAGACAAGCCCTAGGCAGGGTGGATTTGATTTAAATCACTAGTCAGGAAGACTCAATTTAATCATGGATTTCTACATAAAAGGGCATTCTTGTTGGTTGTTATAACCTTAATACATATTCTTCACAACTCAAAGATAAATGAGACCCAAACTGGGTCTCTTTTACGGCCTGCTGCCATTATAGGTTTTCCCTTCTAGTGAGAGAATGGTATGGTAGATGTCAAATCAATGAAGGTGAAAAGGTGGGAGTTGCCCTATCATCTCTAAGAGGCTAATTAATTAAGATGAGGCATTATCAGCAGGAGAAAAAAAACTTTTGTGGTGATAATCAAGATGACCATTTCAGACAGTTTGACAAGAAGGTGTGAGGATACTTAACATGGGGAAATAGATTTAATGTGTGTAATGGTTTAGCCATTCCCAGTCTTTATTCAAGCCTAAATTGATGGTATCTAGTTTGCATATTAATTCAAGTTCAGCAGTTTCTCATTGGAGTCTGTTTTTGAAGCTTTTCTATTGCAAGATTGCCACCTTTAAGTCTGTTACTGAGTGACCAGAGAGGTTGAAGTGTTCTCCTACTGGTTTTTGAATGTTATAATTCCTGATGTCAGATTTGCGTCCATTTATTCTTTTGCATAGAGACTGTCCGGTTTGGCCAATGTACATGGCAGAAGGGCATTGCTGGCACATGATGGCATATATCACATTGGTAGATGTGCAGGTGAACGAGCCCCTGATGATGTGGCTGATGTGATTAGGTCCTATGATGATGTCACTTGAATAGATATGTGGACAGAGTTGACATCGGGCTTTGTTGCAAGGATAGACTCCTGGGTTAGTGTTTTTGTTCTGTTGCTGGTGAGTATTTGCTTCAGGTTGGGGGGCTGTCTGTAAGCAAGGACAGGTCTGTCTCCCAAGATCTGTGAGACTGAGGGATCATCTTTCAGGATAGGTTGTAGATCTTTGATGCACTGGAGAGGTTTTAGTTGGGGGCTGAAAGTGACGGCTAGTGGCTTTTTTCTTTGTTGGGCCTGTCCTGTAGTAGGTGACTTCTGGGTACTCCTCTGGCTCTGTCAATCTGTTTTTTCATTAAAACAGGAAAAGTTACTGATGTATATTAGGCTATGGCCCACTCTTCCATTGCTTGTGGCTGGAGCCTCATCTCTTGGGATGTCCCAAAACTGAACTTAAAGAGATAAGTCATACAAGAATGTTTCCTATTAATACATGGCAGAGGGGAGGGGGAACTGAACTTCTTATTTTAATATTCCACTTAACAGTTGATTATTTTATTCTGTATGGCACAGGTAACAACGCCTGTAGTTAAAGTTCCACAACATTTCCCATTATAAAAACCCTGTTCCTTTTTTATAACTTTGCCAAACTTCAACCGTTCAGTTTGAAATTTTCCATGCTTTAGTGCCTGTCTCAGCCTGAACTCTTTTTTGAAAGTTAACAAAGATGGTTCAACCGATCCCAAGAACGAGATTAGGGGAAAGTGTTTTGCCCAGGTTAAATTTTTTTTACAACCATTTTGTTGAGAAGCTCTAGGGCTAACGAGCTTTGGAGCAGGGACTTGAAATGTAACCTGGGTCTCTTGTTCCTGTTGCTGTCCCTGTGAACACTTGGCCCAAGTTATAAGCCTTTGAAAGATCTCAGTATGCAGATAGTCAGACTTGTTATTTTGGCTTCACAGGTCTTCCAAAGATTCCATTTGTGCTGAGCATGCTCCAGCTCAGGGCTGCAGGGGCCATGCAGGACCTTCCCTGCAATTGATGCTGCCAAGAAAAATTACATTCGAAACACTAAGGTTGCAAAGTCAAGCATTTGCAGGCTAGGAAATGACACTTGTTGCAGAGGATAATGGGGTGGGGAGGTGAGGAGGGGAACATGGCCTCCAGAATCAGATGAGGAGACAACTCAGCCCTGAGGAACACAGATTTCTACAGGTGACGGCAGAGTGTCTTTGCAAACAGGAATCCATAAAAGGGATTCTACGGAGGGTGCTGGGGCTGATGGTGAGGTTGGTGGGTTTGTCACAGCACCAGCCAGTCTGCAGAGTCATGGGATATGGTTCACACATTCCCCTGCTGCAGTCACTCCTCCTTGCTTCTCTGTTAGGTCTCCTGGATTTCTTGGGAGGTTCCCAACTAGATTATTAGTATTCACTGGCCAAAAGAGAGTGAGAGTGACTCTGTAGCCTAGTGGATTAAGGAGGTAGAAGGTAAAGATTCAAATCTTCTCTCTACCTGACTTAATTTGAATCCACATCTCTTACCTCCCCAAGTGAGTGCCTTAAACACCTGCCTATAGTCATTCTTTCTGGCCCAATGAATATTTGAGTTTATACAAAGTAGAACAGCTTTAAAAGTAGAGTGTGAGAGTAGACTAGTCTCCAGTTCTCAGATAAAGTGACTCACAGGGGTGGGTTATCTCTTGCATGAGGGAGTCTTGCCTGTGGTAGCTAGGTGTCAGGGAGCTATCAGCAACTCTCACTCTCCTCCAGATTACACAGCCCTGTCTTTGCCTTGCAGGTTAAAAAGAGGTGCACTTAAGTGCCCTTGAAATATTCCCAAGAGATATCCAGCCCCTGACATTGGCTACTTACATAAATTCTGGATCCTCTGTTTCCAAAGAAAGTGTACCCCAGTTTTACCTTAGGTTCTGCACTGCTCCTGTATAACACAGTGTACTTATAAAACAAAAGAATTATTTAAGAAAGAACATATGAACAGCCATACTGAGTCAGACCAAAGTCCATCTAGCCCAGTATCCTGCCTTCCAACAGTGGCCAATGCCAAGTGCACCAGAGGGAATGAACAGAACAGGTAATCATCTAGTGATCCATCCCCTGTGGCCCATTCTCAGCTTCTGGCAAACAGAGGCCAGGGACACCATCCCTACCCATCCTGGCTAATAGCCATTGATGGACCTATCCTTCCTGAACTTGCCTAGTTCTGTTTTGAACCCTGTTATAGTCTTGGCCTTCACAACATCCTCTGGCAAGGAGTTCCACAGGTTGTCTGTGAGTTGTGTGGAAAAAATACTTCCAGTAGAAACAAGAATGGAAACAAATGGTTACAATATAAAACAAAATCATAAAATGTGAATTAGAACTTACACTTAATTGTTACCTTTCCTAGGTAATAAAGTCGGGTTCTACCTCCTCTCCCCCTGTCAAAGTGCAGTCTGGCACAGAACTGGATGGCTTCCCAAGGACCAGGATCTAATCTTTCATGAAACACCCCTGCTCAACAAGATGTCTCCTCAATGAACGGATGCAGAGTGTCTTTCTCCATCCTGTGATATACTGAATCAGTCTTTTGGCTTTATTCATAGACAGGATGATCTCATGTCTCCTATAATGTTCCTTTTTACTTCCAAGTGGTTTTCACTGTTTGCAGTTGTCTGATTGTTTTCCACTGATGGTTCTGGCATAAGGGAATGGTAGAGATAGGGCTTTACCTTACTGGTTAACCAAGTAGGGGGAAAAACAACCTCCCACTTGAATGGGCCAACACTGAGACATAGTCACCAGGGACTCTCAACTTTTACTTCAAGGCCATAAGGAATAGATTTCAATATAGTTACATTATTCCTTAAAACTACCCATATAATCGTTGCAAGTTGTGTGTGAGTATTGCTAAGTTATAAGCTTTCAGCTGAGACCTCACATGCAACCCTTCATGAAGAAATACTCTGAAAGTGGTACTATATTAAGTATAATGAGTTTGTCAGGTCTGACACAGGATGGGCTTGTAAAGGACAATAAACCCTTTTTCCAGATGGCACCAATGGGCCTGTCACAGGTGTCTATATGCATCTTTAGGCACCTCATCCTGGCCCTAGGGGAGCTTCAGACTAAACCCACAGGAGCTTGATCTGCATAATGTGTAAAAATACCACTTATAAAGAACCAGGCAGAGACAGATGCATCCTGGAGGTGTATGCCTGGCTGCCAGGATGGTGTTGCCAAGAGGGCTTTGGCTTCCTTGACCATGGGATGTTGTTTTGAGAAGAACTGCTGAGCAGAGATGGGGTCCACCTACTGAAGAAGGGGAAGAGCATCTTTGGATACAGACTGGCTCACCTAGTGAGGGGGGCTTTATATTAGGTTTGATGGGGGCAAGAGACAAAAGACCAGAGGTAAGTCAAAAACATGGAGACCTGGGAAAAGGGTCAGAATCTGGGGAGAACATGGGCCATTATAGCAGGGATAAGGGAGAAAATAGAGGGGAAATCAAATTGGTATCTTAGAGGTCTGTATACTATTGTGAGACGTATGGGGAATAAGCAGGAAGAACTAGAAATGCTGGTTGTTAAACACAACTATGACAGTTGGCATCACAGGTAATACACATGACTGGAATGTTGGTATAGGAGGATACAGCTTGCTCAGAAAGGACAGGCAGAGAAAAAAAGGAGAAGGTATTGCCTTAGATATCAAAGATGCATACACTTGGACTGAGTTTGAGATGGAAATAGGAGATAGACTTGTTAAAAGTCTCTGGGTAAGGATAAAATGGGTAACAAACAAGGGTGATATCATGGTAGAGGTCTACTATAGGCCACCTAGCCAGGAAGATGTGGCAGATGAGGCTTTTTTCCCCCAACAAACAAAATAATCCAAAACACAGGACTTGGTAGTGACGGGGGATTTAACGGCCAGGGTGGATAAAAATCAATGATTTAAAAAAAAAATTAAAGATTTTTTTTTATAATAGTTTTAATTAAGATACGTTATAGATCAAAGATATCTCATCATGGAATAGGGATTATAAATTCAAATTATATAGTATGAGACAATATATTCACGTAATGTTTACGAAAAGTTTTATAAATGAGTTCCAATAGTTCATGGATTAGGGACCCAATCTTATGGGTTCCAGGGGCTTCTGTATAGATTATTTAGGTTAATCTTTCTATCTACCCAATGGGACTCAGTGCTGTGTCTCCTAGTTATGCCCTCCATGAACCACCCAAAATAGTTCTTCTCCAGACCTGTCACATATTTTTGGACTATTCAGTAGAAGCCCCTCCTCTGAATTGCCTTGACTCACGTACGATTCCAAACAGAACAGTTGCACTGGAGGTGTATACAGAAAGGGACTATTACCTTTACGCTCTGCAGAGCTGAGAGGCATCTAAAATAGCACAGTTTCCATTAATAGAGTTAGGAGCAGAGCAGGACAGAAAGCAGCTTTTCCTATTGGGGGCCAGACCTGGCACTGGATGAGAAGTCAGGAAGCCAGCCACAAACAAAGCAAGCAGTTCAGATGCCATCCCTGTGTTGGGGTCCCGGTCTATATAATATTCCCCTAAGCTTTGAGACTTTTCCATTCCAAGAACTAAATTTTAAAATAGAAAGAAAAAAAACTAGAAACATTTTATAAGAAACAAGTTTTAATAAAATGCCATTTTGTTTTAATTAAGTTACATAAGTAGGTTAACCAGATTTTTCTGGACTTATTCTGAATTTTACAATTCTGACATCTACAATCTTAACTATGGCGGCTTGCACACAACATAGTAATTTTCTCATGCTACATCCCTGCCATTCCTCAGGGCTTGCTTTCTGCTTCCAATAAACTAAATAAATCCTGTAAATATTGCACCTATTCTAGCTTATTGGTTACCAGGTGGAGATCTCTTTTTATAAGTTTTCTTCATAGCATTGCCAAGAAACACGCTGGTGTCCTCAGTGCAATCCAGAACATCTTTAGCAGGGATGGGAGAGTTATAGCTCTTAGAGCAAGAGATTGCACATTACTCCATCAAACTATATTGGATGAAACCCTAACCTTTTGCATGAGGCTCTGAGAGCAGAGTAATGAGCTACAATGAAGTTTGAGTTTCAGGAACTGTTATAAAATACATGGATTTTAGATGCATTACAAGACAACTATAAGAAACTGACACATTTACCATGTAAAGCTTCATTTATTGATAAAAATAAATTAATCTAGGCTATCTAACCTTATCATCTGAACTGCATTACAGATGCAGAGAATTTCAGTGAGTAAAATGTAGTAAGGAATAAGAATAGTTTAAAACAACTTCTCAAACATCTTAAAGAGAGAGCTGCTAAATTCACCCATTTCAGTGGCAGAGGAAACCCTCTGCTATAAACAACTCATGCTTCCTTTCAGGTAGAAGGGCCACCAAATCTCAAAGTGGGAACAGTATCACCAGTTCACATTGTACAGCAAAGAAAAGTTCCTAATGAACAAGTTCCTTTAATCAGTCTTCTTGTCAGAAACTTCCGTTGGTCCCTTTGCAGTGATTCCATTTGCGACCCCATTGCTTTCAATCTGAAATTGGAAGTAAGAGAGAGTACCATGAACAAATGGCAAAGAAAAAAATTCTTCACATTCAGAACCCTAGAGTTTAGTTGGGGAGGAAAGAATGAAGAGAGGAGTTCAGAACATCTGCCTCAGTTCTGAGAAATTTGCACTAACAGACTGAAATTTAAAGAAGTTAGGTAAAGTCTTATATACAATTCTTACTTTCTAAAAGGCCAGAGGGAAAAAAAAGTATATAGAAGAGCTTATGCCCATTTCTTTGGATATTAACATGTAATTATGGTAAAAAAAGTTACCGTGTTATAAAAAAACAAAACAAAAAAGCCACTTGAAACATGTTGGTCAGTAAACACGACTTTTTACTGGGACTGTAGAGCCAGTACAAGAAACTGGCTTCAGTTCTGCTTAATGCATCAGATTTAGGATTAGGATTTAATTGCTGAATTTTTTGTAGTGGAGAAGTAAGGAGTCAGAAAAGCTCTTAAGCAGAACTATTAGATATAGCTGGGATAGAGCATGCCATTCTAGGATGATTCTGTTCCAAGAGGTCTCAGAGGTTGATTTGGGGCAATTGTTCTCCCTACTTAAGAAAACTGTACCTGGTTAGACAGTCACAACCTTTTCTGTCATATCTGAATTTCCCCCAAAACAATCCACCATGCCCTTGTGACTTCCAGGTTGGATTGTTATAGGGTGCTCTACTTGGGGATTCCTTGCTTAGCTACCTCCCTCCCTCCTCTAACGTGCTTTAAAATATATTGCTTACCTTATACATTCCAAAATCATCTGTTGGGCCTAGGTTTGTGGTTGACGTCCCCAGAATAGTTCCAGTACTGTCTCCTTGACCTTGTTTGGTGGCCAGTGTTCCCTGCACAGCTTTCCTAGGCCATATGCGCTTAATGAAAGGTGAAATTATAGGGTAGACATATGGCTCAAGGAATTTCTTATAGACCCAGAGCAGAATTGGAATGACGATACAAGGAATGCACACCATGGTTCTTTCCAATCCTCTGACAGAATCTGTTGATATAAGAGGCAATAAAATAGAATTGAAAACCAAGGGACTGACGTTTTTAAAAAAAAAAAAAAAAAATTACTTATAAAAAAAACTTTGCAATGCTTTAAGTTTAAGAAACCAGTTTAAGTCTAATTTACATCAACATGTCTACTGCTTGCTCTTCATCTTTCCAACAGCTTATACAATAGAAACAGTGGATTTGTTTCTATAATGCAGTGTTTGGGTTGCAAACAATGCATGGGGGGGGGATAGAGGAAATCTTTGTTAAAACTTCAATTGATCCCAACTCTTCCATTAAGTTATGCAAGCAAACAATATATGTCTTGAGACACCCCTTCTTCCCAAAAGTCTTCCAGCAAAGACCAGAATTGGCATGCATGACATGTCAATGGCCAGATGGTTTCAAGGTCAGTATTCTTTTTACACAAGAGGGTGTTTATTTTGCAGCCACAAAGCTGGAATTGTTGAGTGAGAACTTTTATATAGAAAAGCAATAGTCAATGAATGACAGGCAGCCTTTCAGGGGTGACCCATCACAAAGGATTTAAACCAACCAACAAAATCTTGAACTCTTTTCCTGTTTATGACACACAGATGCCTAAAAGGAGTTTATGGAGGGAAATGGTGAGCGCAAAAACTCCAGGGGCCCAGCCACCTCCACCAGCCATAACAAGGCCAGAAGCAACCCTGGGCATAGGGCAAGAAGGGCCGCCCATCTTTCACTGCCTCCACCAAGCACGAGGGACACACGCGGGAGGAGGGGGGATCCAGGGCACGAGAAAAGCAGGCAGGGTAGGAGGGGATCAGTCCAGGGACAAGCAGGTGGGTCTGTGGGTCAATCAGTGATGGGGGGCGTCGGGTGGGTTCTCCCTTCACCGGGGCAAGCCACCAGCTCCCCTCGGGGAACAGCTGCCCCCTACCCGCAAGGGCGGTGTGCGACGCCCGGCAGGAGGCGCGAGGAGGTAGATGGAACAGCCCCCTTATGACCGGGGCGGGGGGGGGGGGGGGGAGACAAGGGACTCCCTGAGCGTAACGGACCCACCTACCGGCTCCCCTTCCAGTAACGACTCCAACCGCAGCCCGGCACCACCCGAGCTCTGACCGACACCGCGCCGGAAGCCGCCTCTTCACTTCCGCCTTCCGGATGGGATTGATGACGTTACCGGCCCAGCGCCAATGGGAAAAGGAGCACCGTTGGTCACGTGCCCAAAACATAAGGGGTGGGAGTTGACGCCAACCGCCATGGCACCAGAGGCAAAGCATTAGAGGCCAAAGCTGAAGAGTCTGGACTCTTCCCCCCCGCCCGGCAAGACACGGCCAGAGCTGCTAGAGGGTAGAGGCCTGATCGAGCTGGAGGGGAGCTGGCCCCCCATTCCCCTGAGCCGTGGGGGAATTGGATCTTCCAGACAGGAGTTACCTACCCCAGAGTGTGCACAGCTAGAGCAGTATCACAGGCACCACCTGCCAGGTTATTTTGCTAACCCCATAAAATGATTTTAGGTGCATCACAAAACCTTTTTTTCCCCCCAGTCCACATGATCACCTTGAGCAGCAAACATTTCTACTTGAAGAGAACATGCGCATTGCTAAGTTAGCTGAAAACCCACAGAGCCAACACTAAGCTCGAAGGCCCCTTTCATCCGTATGTCTTAAAGCAGTGGTGCTCAAACTTTCTTCCCCGCGGACCACTTGAAAATTGCTGAGGGTCTCAGCAGACCACTTAATGATCTTTCCAAATGTTTGTACCGTTAGCTAACTATTGTAAAGCACTTTGGATAAAGGCTCTCTCTCTAAAAAAAAACCTTAAAATAAACATTTTGTTGTTCTACAAATAAAAGCACACAACTGATAACAGTAGTCTTACCGTTCTAATGCAATGGATGTACCCTCTCTCCCCCGGCACGGCAGCCCCTGAGCTGTAGCTGGGAAGGAGGGGGGTCTCTCCCTGGCAGCCACAGCCCTGGAGCTGGGAAAAGTCGCCTTTTTCTCTGGCCGCCGCAGCCCTGCACCTTCCAAATTCCCCCCACCCCCTAGTCTCACCCCAATGCCCCCTCCCACCTACCCCCATTGCCCCCAAGGCCACCACCTCACCTTACCTGTGCATCTTCTCCAGGGTCCAGGCACCTAAATTAGTGGAGCCACGCCTGCATGGCTCCACTAATTAGATGGGAGGCCCTTCAGTGTCTATGTGCAGTCACCCAGGCTCGCACCTTGGAGGGACCTGTCTGTGGACCACTTGAATGGAGTGGTCCGTGGACCAGTTTGACCACCTCTGTCTTAAAGCACTTGGTGGTCAATATCATTAGCACTATTATCAGTAGTGCTGTTCAATGCTTGGGAAATGGGAATAGGATTACCACCCTTTCAAAAGGCAAAAGTGCAGGAGCCCCGCCCCCAACTCTTCCTCTTTCAATGAGGCCTCACTCCCTGCTGCTCCTCTTTCCCAAGACCCTATCCCCCCTGGCCAGGCAGGAAACCTGAGCTGGGCCATGGTAAGAGGAGCATAGGCTGCTGTGGGGAGCCCTATACCCTCCACCTGCCCTAGGTGGGGGATGAGGATGCCCAAGAATAGCCCATGGCGCTGCCTGCTGCCCAGGACATTGACCAGGGGTGCACATGCCTGATACTGCTTATACCATCAGGGCCTGTATTACTGGCACCAAATACTTAAGTGTTCATTTCCATAATTTAAAGCAGGGCTGTGACCTAGGGGCTGCATACAACCCACCAGATTGGTTTATTTGGCCCGCAAACAGTTAATAGATTTATTTTACTATGACATTTTTTCTCAACTGTTCTTTTCCTATGATAAACATATTGCACATAAAAAAGTGGAAGACTAGTTGTTAGGAGTGGCTGTACACTTCTTTAGTTTGACAATAATTTTCATCTGCATGAAGAACTTACAAAGTTAACCTCATCGCACACAACGAAGGGTCCAGATATTTTTGATGTAGTTGAGGTGGTTGCAGATTTTTGAAAAGTTGGTGGCTGTTGTTACTGATGGAGCACCTGCTGTGAGTGAACTAAAGGTCAAGTTTCAACATTTATCAAAGCAGTGGGGTTGTGTAGAAAAATTGCTGAACTCAGATCATGTCATGTCATGAATGGGGTTGTGAAAGTTACAAACTTGATTGGAAGTGGCAACAGATCACTGCATCATCGCAGATTTGTGGTAAATGCTTTTTAAGAGATTCCTTGCACTTCAAAGATTTAATTGCCTTTCTGAAAAACACTGCAAGTTTTGATACCAAGGAGTTACTGGAAAAGCTGGAATATTCCATTTTTCTTTTTAATAGGGCATTTTTTATTGACACAACCCAACCTCTGAATTATTTGAATCTGCAATTACAAGGCATGGACCAGACTCTGTTAGACCTCATTGATCACCTGGATAGTTTCAGAAGAAAAGTTGGACTTTTCAAAAGACTCACCTGTTGCATTTGGATTTTGCCCATTTTACCCACTTTTGCCCAGCGTGGCATGAACGCAAGTCAGTGTAGCTGGAACGCTACTGATGTTGAAATGATGCTTAATATCACCAAATTTTACAGATTTTACAAGTTTTCAGCCTCACCTGATCCTTTTTAATGATCCACTTGCAGCTGTTGTCAATGACCAGCCTTCTGAACTGCAACAGTAACTGCAAACTGCAGGCTGATCTTTTCTTGGTTGCAGCTAATGAAAGTGATATTCAGTTTTGGAAACTGCTTTCGGAGTCCCATTTCCCAAATCTGAAAAACTGGTTGTTGAAATTGTGTTCTATGTTTGGAAGCACTTACATCTGTGAAAGTAACTTCTCTACACTGAATCATTTGAAATCAAAGAAAAGGAATTGACTGACAGATGAAAACACTCTCCCATCTTAACGAGTTAGATGCACTAAAATTGATAGATATAAATTGATATATAGACTGAGGCTCACCCTCAAGTTTCACACAGTAAGATACTGTAACAATAAGCAGCAAAGAAAAAACGTTATTTGCTATTTTCATTTATTAATCCCCTGCTCTTCTGCATATTGAAAAAGATTAGTGAAAAATGTTTCAATTTTTTCTTAATTTAAAGGTGGTGCTGTATTTATATTTAAGAAAACTTTGGTTTTACACTGTGAATAGTTAGCTGTATGCAAACATGCTGTACTGTAAAACATTTGAGTTGCACAATAAACTAAAAAGGGTTTTAGTGGATTTTGTGGCCCCCCTTTACTTCCTTAAAGTTGCCTATCTCTGCTTTAAAATTAGGATTTCACCTTAAACACGGACTTGTAATTTTTATATTTTGTAGAAGAAATAGATCTAATAGCAATCAGTTCAATTTTGTCCACACATTTACTTCAGTACAACTCAGAATATCAGTTTGAGCACAGGGTTTTTAGATCAAATATATTCCTCAAACTTTGCTACACGAGAGATGTAAATACTTTAATTTCCCCCCTCCCCCCCCCTCCCCCCCAAGGTTTTGGAGAGAGTAGAAAGGAAGAGTACTGGGATTAAGAGAAAACAGGTTAGGAATTATAATTCCTAATTTCAGGAAAAACATTTTCTGAATGTTTGCATTGTAGACATTATAAAAATGAACAATGTCATAATACTAACAAATCCCAAACATTCAATTGTTTTTACAATAAAAATGCAAGACTTCAGATGTCAAATGGTGCTATTTAGAGTAACTCTGCAGGTTAACAAGCAAATTAATCTATTCAGAGAATACAAATACACCAGGGACAAGACTGATCAGGGGACTGGAAGCCTTTCAACTATTATCACCTCAAATCCAGCCCTAGTCAATGGTGACCAACATAACTAATGAGAACTGTTTAGCAGCCTAGGTGAAATGAATAGCTGGATTCCATGTTCATGATGGCATAGCTTTCCACACAGAAAACCATCATAATGTACCTATGTGCTCCCCAGATGCCAAGGATCAGATGGGCATCAGTCACCTCCCAAAAGTGGTCTTCCCGCAGACCATGATTGAAAAACTGATGGGACAGCAT